TATAATAAAATAAATTCAAATTTTATATAAGTATAAGATCATATTAAAAAATTAATTATTCTTTAAAACTTGATAATTTTATAAAAAATATACTAATACAAAAGATTTAAATATTATTTTTGATTTTATAAATCAATTACTTTATATTGAATAATTTTCTAAATTCAGTTATATTCTTTCTTTTTAAATTTTAAAAAATGATTATTTTTAATTTCGTTTTTTTAATTACATTTTATCTTAAATTTTTTCTCCCTTTCATTAACATTCCTTATTTAAAAAATCTTACTTTTTAATCAATTACTCCATCTTATAATAATTGTACATCAAAATTAAATCAAAATTTTGATAACGCAATAATATGAAAAATTAAAATAATGATAGTAATTGGACAGTGAAATAAGACTATTTTGTCGTTTATTTCTTCGGTCATATTAAAATCCCATCAGCTCTGGAAAATGTATTGATAGTGGAGGCCGAAAAAGAAAGACAATTTACAAACGGGCCCACTGGGCCTCCTCCGATAAGTACTTTCGACATTTTCGAAGTTCTATTTGTTTTATTTCCCGCCACAAATCTGATCCTTTAGCGGGCATCGAACAATGTGTGTCGGCAATGACCCACATTTTAAGAGCCAATTTTCTTGGCGATAGTTTTAAGAACACTGTAATTAATTAATAATTAACTTAATTATTAATTAATTGTTTAGTTGAATATTTAAACAATGAACCATTAACGTTTGGCAAATAGAAAGAAAGAAATGAAATACAATTATATTATTTGCTTATTGAAAATATAGCATTGTAATAGTTTATTATAAAATAAAATTAATTTGGTTTCGTACCTTATAAATTATGAAGGCAGAAAAAGTATTGCCTAGATTGTGCTTTCAACATTTTTAATAAAAAAACTTATTTATATATTTCCGACAGCGTATTTTTAAATAACATTTTAAAATTTTCAGAGGACGTTAAAATAACTTTATCTTTTATTATTTACTTTTTAACCGAACTGATAGACAATTTAATGAATTAAAACTACAATATATTCTTTGCTAATGTGTGTGAAATATATATATAATTTGGTACGACTTTTTTAAGGGAAAGATCTGTTTGTTTGTTAATTTGGTACAAATTATGTTCAATTATCTCACACGAATTATACTGCTTACACATACTTAAAAATAATTTAATTACATTAACTTAAATATTTTCTGCTTATAGTAATAAATAACCTTAATGAATGTCAAGTTACAAAAAGTTAAGGCAGATACAAACACTAAAAAAATATATTTAAGTCAGTATTACGAATAATGAAATTTAAATTTAACTTGTGCTTCTCATTTTAATAGGGTTAATTTTTTTCCCTTTGTTTAGCATTCTAAACAATAGCTTTTATTTTATTAATTTGGATTATCTACTCTTTGATAAACATAGTCATGTGGTATTATGCAATGAGATAAAGATAAAAAGAGATTTGAAAATATTTAAACATAAAAAAAAATGGATTAGTTGAATGTGATGAGGTTGAACATCTAGATCAACGTGAGTGTGTTTGATTTTGAAAATAGATGGAATTGAAATTTGAAAAGGCGGGATAGATACCACAAATTGAGGGGCCGTGTCTCTCTGTCACTCACTCACTCACTCACTCACTCACTCACTCTCCCCTTTTTCATTTCGGTCTCTTCTTCTCTGTCTTATAACCCAAAGTTTTCTTTTTCTTTTCTCTCTCCAATCTTCTCACTTTCTCCGATCTCTCCGCCATTCGCTACGGTACGCTTCACTCAACTCCATACACATCTTCGTCCTTGCGATTGCTTTTTATATTCTTCTGCTTTTACGATTCTTTCTCATTTTCAATTGTTTCCGATTCATCCTAACTAACTCCTCATTGCTTACTTCATTTTCTTTAACCGTCGTTTTTCAATTGCTGCTTTAAGTCATGCTTAATTTTATGCCGTTTGCGTTTTCATTCGTTTGTGTGAGAGCCTTGTTAGTGTAAGTTAACTCTAGTTTGCTCCTGTTGTGGAATTCAAGTCTGGATCGTTCGTAAATCTAATTCGACATATTTAGTTAACACCTCATGCATCATGTGTTTAAATGCAAGCTTAATTAGTACATTTAGTTTTTTTTTTTATATTTAGATTTATAATTCACTTTATTACTTATATTTTTCGTAACTTAATTAAATATTCATAATTTTTAAACAAATTAATTTAATTTCTTTCATTAAACTAATGTTAACATATTTTCAAAGTACTATATATAAAAATTTGGATCATCTTCAATTTTGAAATCTTTATTATTTTCTTTTAAATTCTCCCTCCATCTCAAGCTATACTCAAACGTGAGAGAGAAATTTATCTGCTGAAAGGACATCTACAAACATAAATGAAGAAACAAAGGCAAAACAATTAAATAAACCAAAGCGAAGAAAAATACCAAAATCCAAGAACAAACAAAAAAATCTCAAAACCAAACCTTGCTTGGATTTGTTAAATCCACCATTGTAGTTAAAACCGAGTTTAAACCTTCCCTCTTACAAATATCTTTGGACGATATTCGAGAGAAATGATGAGTTCTATGTATATAAGATTGTAGCGAAAACCTTAGCTTACAATTGATGAGAGAAAATGAAAAGAAGAAAAGTTGATAGAAAATATGAATGAGAAAAAAACCCTAACTTGTGGTGATTCTGAAAGAGAAGATTTTTGCAAGGAGTGTAGAAAAAGGTGGTAAAAGGTGAAAGAAGACTAATGAAGAAAGAATGTAAAGAAGAGGAAAAAAAAAGAAAAATCAAACAGATTACAAAATAGAAAATGATCCAAATTTTACCATTACCATCAAATTAAGAAAAAAACTTAATTAAATTTATTTAAAAAAATATTAAAACTCAAACAAATAAATAAATAATATAAAAACCGTAATGCATTATAAATTTAAATATGAAAACCAAATTATTAATTAAGCTAATATATATTATTAGCTCATAAATTAATAAAAACATTATAAATAGGTAGATGTTATATTATAAGTTTATTATGTATCCATGCAATACACACTTGAAATTTTTAAATAAATTATCATACATTTTTCATTATATTACCTTTTGCACTTACCACCCGTAACATTTTGAGAGGTATTCTAATGAAATTGTTGTATTCTTAGAATTATATATAATATATATATATATCCTATATATATATATATTAATATTATATATTATAAAAGAGAGAGAGAATTTTTGACAATTCAATATTTGTGTATTATTAAATTGTCCACAGAATACATATTTTTAAATAGACGACGTTTATGTTTCATTCCAGTAAAGAAAAAAATATATGTAGAAAAAAAACGAATCGCTAAATCAAAGAAGGTTTAATATAATTCTCAATCATGTTCCTATTTTTTTTCATATTTGAAATTGTCCCTTTATTTTTTGGCGTCTTAATTGGGTCCTTATTTTATTATGTGAAATGCAAATTAAATTCTTTCCGTTAATTTCATCAAACGGCGTTAATGAATGTGTGACGTGACCTGAGGACAGTATTGACACGTGTAAGGTCACGTCACATATTCATTAACGCCGTTTGATGAAATTGACGGAAATGATTTATTTGCATCAAATTAACAAAAATAAGAACCTAATTCAGACGCCAAAAAATAAAGGGACCTATTTCAAATTCTGAATAAAAATAGGGACTTATGGAGACATTAAACCTAAAAAGAATAAATATGTAAAGTACGGTATAAATAGACCATTAGTGCTTTTACTTTGTTTTAAAATATGTATCACTTTATTTAATTTTATGATTTTAGCTTTGTAAATTTAGTGTTTTTAGATATTGTTTGTTCTCTTTGATACAAGAGACTCTGGGTACTAATACCATCAATTAATTAAATGTATTAATATATTTGTGATATAATTATTGTTTATGAATTTTATCAGATGGACATGTGTCTATTTGTTTAAATACTTATTAATTTCTGAATTATTATAATTAATTATAAATGATATGACTAAGTATCTTGTGTGATGTTTGTATGGACCATGATAACAGTATCTTATTTGATATTATGTTGGTCGAATAGAAATGGATTGAATATATTGACTGTATTTATTATCCAAAAAAACAAGTTTTATTCGTATAGTTGAAAAATATTTGGAATTAATTTAGAAAAAAGATTACAAATACAGTTAGTTTAAAACATTTTGAATTAATTTAGAAAACAGATTACAAATAAACTTAAAATATTATTTACTGAACAAAGTCCAATTGCCTTATCTACTACTAAATATGCATGAAGATTTGACCCGCAATTGTTTTTAATTTTAATTTATGGTCTTAAAATAAAATTTTCAATATATAACTTATTATATATATTAGAGGAAAGTTTTACAATTTATAAATATCCTACTCGATTTCAGTGGGATTATCCAAATTTAAATGAAATAACATTATATAAAAATAGTTAATAATGTACTCACTCAATTACTGCACCCAACGATATGATCATCTACTGCCAGTAATTATTGCGAAGCTGTGCACAAAATGGGTGAATCATACTTTCAAGTTATTCCCAAACAAGGTGATGTAAGCGAAAACTGTAAAGATATCTCTGCTAAAATGGTCTAGCAGTATCTCAACTAACTACGCAAAATCAGCATTTTCTATTCTTCCCTCTTGTGTCTTTCTCCCAATGCGTGCACGTTGTGAAAACACAACCAAAACTAAACACATGCTATATCTCCTTGTCTCTCTTCTTACCCCCTTTACACACCCCAAACATTACCCTGTATATAATCTCTTTTCACACCAACAGTCCCTAGAATAGAGAAATCATGTTTCACTACCAACCACAGTAGAAATCAATACTACAAGAAATGAACATAGTGATTTTCATCACATCAACTACCAATGTAAGTGTTTTTTGAACCTAGTTCGATAGGAAAACAATACTTTTGTAATTATAGATGCTCAACAGAATAAGAGAACTGCATACAAAATTTATGTAGGCAAAGATCTACAATCGAAAAAAATAAAATGAGGAGACATGGGTGAATGTAAATTTAGGAAACGGGGCTGCAACTGCAATGACGCTTTTCCCAGCCATATTATGCTTGAAGAAGTTCTTTTATATCCACTCCCTGTAGTGCTCAATTGAACAAGCAATAGTTGCCGGATGGCCTCCCTCTTCTCCTCGCCCTTTCAGAGATCACAGAATTCTTGCGAGTCACCTCTTTTTCAGCTCATCAACTTTCATTTCAACCTCATTTACCACATTCAGTGTAGCAGGCAGATCCTCTGATCAGCTCACCTTTTGTCGCGTAGCTGGATTAGCTCTCTTTCCATGTTGAGGCATATGATTGTCCTCGATGTGTTGTCTCAGCATTAAGTTATGAATCTTAGCGTTGGCCTCATCTTTTTCGGTCATGACCATATCATACTTCTGCTTGTGCTGGTCAAATTCCCTATTCACAGCTTCAACTTCGTATCTTCTCTGATTAAGTTCTTCCTTCAAACAACCGATTTCACCATGCAAAACAGTTTGTTGGGAAACAAACTGCTCTTCCATTTTCTGTCTTTCAGCTTCAATTTGCCTTGATTTGTTTTCTAACATGAGGCTTCTAGATTCATATTCCTCAAGTCTAGAGCCCAGTTGTATGTTCTCCTCTGATAAACGTGCAATATCAGAATGCATCTGATTTTTCACCAATGAGAAGTGTGCTTCGGCATCAAGCATTTCCGCCTTCAATTTCTGCACCTCAAGTTCATTATTGGTTTCATTATTTTTGTACCATGTAAGCCTGTCTTCTAAGTCCCCCGAATCTTCTTTCTCTCTGAATCAAGTTGGCATTCTAATGTGACCACATTTTGCTGTGCTACTTCAAGCTGACCTTCCAGCTCCCGAGTTCCAGATGTCCTGCTATTAAAGTTCCTCTTTTAATCTAGCAATTTCATCATATGATATCTTAAGGTTTCTTCAGCAAGCTTTAGCTGTGCGACTAACTTCTCAATTTTGAGGCTGCAATCTGAAACATGTGTCTCCAAATCAGTGGTCTTTTTCTGCAACTCCAGCACATGTTCTTTTTCATACTTAAGATTTTCCTCTTTTACTTGTGATTCTACCAATGCATTATTAAGCTGAACCTCACTTTTTTCAATTTGAATTTTCAACTTGTCAATCTCTTCTTCTGAGATCTTAAGTTTAAAGTGGAAATTTTCAGCTCTTCCTCATTTTTGAGGAATTCCTTAAGCAATTCATCATAACTTCTACTCTCCGTCTCCCAGGATATCTCATCTGTTTTTTCCTCCCCAACATGAATTTGTTGCTCCTGAATCTGAAGATGACGAGGACGAAGAGGAAGGTGATCCAGAGTCCTCTTTCATAGAAGCCACAGAACTATCACCACCAGAGCTTGGGGAAAACTCTATATTGACTGGTTTGAAAGGCCAGATTTCAGCAACAGTGTTTCGGATAGGGGGTATAGTATGGTGTACCCGATACATTCACTTGATCATCGAAACCTACACTAGAATTTTCAGAGTTCTCCATCTGAGGTTAAAATCAACACTGCACTCAAAGAAAAACGAAATATAGATGAATTTATCATTCCAATCGTCACAGTCAACAAAGGCAAGGACTAATCTGTAGACTAGAGAAATGTTAAGAAGAAATCGAAACAACATGAATAATAAATCTGGACTGCAAAAAACACCAAATAACCAGCAATCACCCAATAAACATGAATACAACCTGTCAGACCATCACCGTTTTCTCTTTATTCTCTTTACACCTAACTATTTTAGTCCAGTTCTGAAAGTTTTCTACGTTGCTACTCGCATACCACCTCACATTATTTGTATTACTATTATATTATAATTACAAATATAATTATAATTGTCCAAAACAATTCATAGAACACGCACAATCAATCTGAATTTTTTAAGCCATGCGTCACGAAATCCACAAAGGCAACTTGCTGAACAATGTTACATTACACATAATTGATGGTATGGCAGCGTTTTTTATACAAAACTCACACGATCTACGTTT